AATTTTCATGCAATTTAAGTCCATCTGTTTTTTTCTTAATCTCCGTGGGCTTGGAAAGCAGCTTTCTAGAGCAGCTGTTTGAGTGCTGAGGATGGTGACTTCTCTGTCTTCTATTCCATTCATATTCCTATCTAACAAATGCCACTCTCTCCTGGGTCCAATATTGTCCATTTCCTTAGTATTTTTCCCTATAAACAATCTCTTCCCCTCCATATTAACACATATAGGCTCCTCACAGCTTCTCCATTCCCCTTTCTTCCTTACCCCCATGCTTTCCTCTTTCTTCTGCTTTAGATTTCAACGTGTCTGTACCTCCTTGTTCATAAAGATTCATTTCCAATCTTTCTGACAATGCCTGTTCTGCTGTATATCACTGGTGCATGTGGAGGCTTGTTGCAGCCAGGAATGTGTTGTCTTGGAATGGCAGGAATGCATGGAAGCTATCCGCTGTGATGTAAATGTCTTTCAATTACCTTCTCTATGCAGAATGTCTTTTTTAGTCCTAGCCCCTGTGAAATGCTGCTGGTGCTCTTCTGTCTTCACCGTTTCCATGGTAGCCGATCCCATCCTTTAGTGACTTTCTCATCAGTGGCCTAAACAAAATCTAGAACTGAGCTGTCATAATTAAATGGGAGGCAGTTCACAATATTTTTGAAGACTTGGTGGTATTACATGATAAAAGTACTTTGCAGCTAAAACTGGGTAAGTAATTAAGCACCATTACCTTGAATGGTGATACTTTCTGAGTGGAACATGTCCTGAATACAGTAAAATTGCTATGTCAAATAAAGTTAATGACACTGTTCCAGAAGTACAGAATGTAATGATTTAATTAACCCAGAGTTACAGCAGCCTGATTTTAAGTAACTCACTCTCTCTCCAGCCCCTTCCTTAACAGCACTCCTGGTTCAAGTATTTCACTTGTATGCCTTTGAAATCAGATCCAGATTTGGATTCTGACTGAAATCCCAAAATCAGAGCCTGCAGCTAATTCAAAACCCAGATCTAAATGCTTTCAATCTTTGGCACATTTTGTAGGCCCGATTTAACATTTTCATAGACTGCGGTTTTCAGTGTAATATCTGACTTCCCCCTTTCCCCCTCCCAAAATGTCTCTGAATACTAACCATAGGGTGTTCAGAAGTTGGGAAATTAAAAAATTTAGATCATTAGGTGTAGGTGAAGAAATGTAAATATAGGCAACCACATTCTCAAAACTCTTGGTCAGAATCTCTGTTTTGTGGTTTAATACAGTGTCTCTGTCAAGCTGTTATTCAGTAAACCAGACTGTAAAGCTGAGAAAGACACGTCTCTTTCTTAAATTAATGTATTAAAGGAATTCAGGTAGTGTCGTGGATTAATATACCTATTATTGTGAACAACATCTGAAATTCTACTCTTTGACTGCATTCTATATTTTCTTCCAGTTTGGAGAAATCAACATAAAAAAAAGAGTTTAAAGCCCATGATTCACCTATCATTTACTGCTCTTTACTTAAAGTAATTAGTATTGAAGGCACACATGAATGTAAAATCCAGTCCTTGTCTAAATGTATGTGACCCAACTTCCACGGAGCTGCCTGATTAATCAGTATAAGACGTGGAGGAAGACATGTGTAAGCTCAGGCAGGAGAGCAACCCCGGATTTCCAACACAGGATGTGTATTTTTTTCTGTCCAACAATCCACACATACCTATATCAGGTCCAGAAATCATCCTACTGCACCATCCCAGTAAATCACAACCCTCAGACTCCTTGCTCTTCTGATTTGAGAATCAGCTTCAGCTGCATGACCAATCTTTTTCCCAATCTTAGTGTGGGAATTTGTAGAGGAATTATTAACCCAGCTGGTATCAGATTTTTTCCTAATAATGTCAGCATTACCTTGGTTTCTATGAATTCCGAAGAGCCATCAGAAATCTCTGTGTATAGCATCACTTTCAGAATTTTTCTTTTCAGTTCCCACACACTGTATTTAAAGCCCTGACACTGGAGACAATGAGAGTAGATTTGAAATTATAATACAGTTGCATAAACCAGCATCAACAGTATGCAGAGAATGGACCCAATGAAAACTGTGATATGACAGGTGCAGTTTGCTGTGGGGTAAACTGCAGGAGAGATGGGCTCCACAGCCACAGAGAGCTAAAAACACTGAACAAGTGGCCCACAGAAAACACAAGTTGCTGGAATGAGTGGCTGAAATCCTGGGGCAATGTCCACATGCAGGGCAAAACTGATTAAGTTGAATTTGTCAGAACTGGGAGGTGGATGGTCAGTGAAGGACAGTGAAGGAAGATAATTAGAAAAACAGTGATGGCACAGCAAAAGTACCACCAAACACATTTTCACTGGTGGTAAGGGAAATCCTATTTTTTTTTCATTACAAATCAAAATTTAAAACCCTCTTGAAGAAATGATATTCAATATACTGCCAGTTTGCACCTAAAATCTCCCAGATAACCAGTCCCAATGGATTGTGAAAAGCATTAGCTGAAGCAAGCACATACTGATATGATAAAATTTAGATTATTGGGTTAAAAAAACGTGTCTGTTCCCTGTTCTCCTCCCCATCCCCTCTTTGTAGCAAATAAAAGAAAGAAACACAAGAGGTTGTTATCAAATTCTGCTATCAGCTTTATTTTTGCTATTAGTTTTAGGGGGGTGAGGGATTTGTTCTGCTGTTGCAGTCATGGTCACAACGTAAACTGTTCAGATAGAGGGAGTGGCTTTTTTCCTTCTACTTTATAGCCACAGACATTATAGACTGTTTTTATTAAAGATGTTGAGTATGGAAATTATATTTACCTCCTACAACGGTGGGAGGTGTAATGCCTCTTAGTTTGCAGTTTCCGTGCGGAGTAGGAAACAAACGGAGATGGATACAGTAGATGGCTCAGCTATAGCACGCTGGCATACACAGCTTCTTGCTCAGACTTAACATAATTTCTAATTTTGGCTGTTTCTGTGAATATTAAATGAGAGAATGAGAAGACTACTTCATTTGAAAGGCTTATTTAATCTCCCTTCTCTTAATTTGCTTTGTTTACTGAATTAGATTTCCATAGGAGAATGGCCTGTAGAACCGTCTCCCCTGACTAAACAGTTCAAATGAGCTATGAGTAAAACCATTCAGATACAATTCACAACCATGTTTTATTAATAAAAACTAAAAACGTTACTGAGGCTCAGCATGTGCTGAATTCTCCAGGCTTTTATCCTTGCACCTATGTTATTGTCAGACTCTTTTCACTTTGTGTACCTTAACGGAGAATTTAACAGAAATGTAATCACAGAACTTCATTAGAAGTTACGTAAATAACTATTTCAAGATTTTTAACTCTCACAAAGAGGTGTTTATTTAAAGCCAGCACTAGGCTGTATTTATGACTTTTTTAAAACATATGTCTGTATCTGAAAGGCGAGTCGTAGCCATATGTCTCAAAATTTCTACTTTCAAAGTGAACCCCTCCTTTTGGAAAGCAAATGCCAACAATTCCTCACTCTTCATGTTCCTTACTGCTTTTCTGACGGAAAGGCAAACTAATATATATATATATATATATATATATATATATATATATATATATATGTACACACACTAACTAAAGAAAGGCCTTAAAAGCTGTGAAAGATGATTTTTTCTTCAGCCTACAGCACCTCACCCTTGTTCACTTGCTGTCTGTGTACACTGTACATATGGATAAATGGAGCTGTCCAAGAAAGCAGACCCCAGATTCAAGGGTGAGAAAGCTCACTGCTTACTGGCACCTGTGGGCAAACACACAACTTGTGCCAGGAGAAACTCCTTTGCCTGAGAAAAGCTTTCCTTGCTGGAAATGTGCTGACATTTTTCATGCTGGAGCAATTCTTGGAAGCATTAAGTTGCACTGTGTGTCCCTGGGATTTTTTTCCTCTAGGCACAGCAGATGCGTGGCCACGTAACACCGTTTGTAATATAAACCACTGGGAAAAACATCCCAGATGGGAAACAGCTTGAAAATTATGAGAACTTTTTTCTTCTATTTCCGTGCACATCTTTTGCTTGTTGCTATTCAGATTTTTATATGCCTCAGTATATTATCACATTCACACACCTTAAGAAGTATTTAATGGACACTTCACTTTCATTTCTGAACATAAACACTGTGGAACAAATGTCAGAGAAGAATCATCTGACTGAAGTTGACTTTAAAATTTTTTGCCACTTAAGTTATTTCTGTTTATTTTTCTTGAGAATGCATTTTTCTCTCCTTAAAGAGCCAAAGATTTTTTTTTAAGGAGCAGGTATGGTGCAGAAAATAAAAAATCTTGAAGATAAGCTTCTTGCTCATAGAATTATTTTAAAGAACAAGACAGTAATGACTACTTCCTAAAATATGTATTTCCATTAAACAGGAACTACTAATAAAAATTGCTTTCCTCTTCAACTAAACATTAGGATTTAAATAAGTTGGCTACTAGTATGAACTGGAATCATGGAAAATAAAATTTTCAGCTGATTGAATAGTTGAGCCAAAGTGGTGGTTTTAAGACCGTTTTAATGGCAAATTTTCTATGTGTAAATATTGGCTCACAAACTTCATGTTAAATTTGAACCTATGGAAGATCCTGAGGAGAAGTGAAGCCCAAATAAATTAAATCCCTTACAAGAGCAGCTGTTAATGGACCAGTAACTCACCAATTAAAACAAAATAGATCAAATCATCTTGTAGTGAGAGTGTAATTTAAGATACTGAATTTATGAAGACACAAAATACTGTAGTGGAAGATAAAAGAAGACACAAAGGGAAGCTTGACTTTTTTTTTTTTTTTTTAAATTTATTTTTAACTGTTTCCCAGAATCACTTTTGTTGAAAACAGTAACTCACAATTATTTTGAAGGAACTAGAATTTCACCCATTTTCCTGCTTCACTCCTGTTTATCTGATTAGTTAAAAAAAATTGCTTCCAAAGAGTGAACAAAATAATTCATAAACAGGAAAAAGTAGCCTGAAACTCTATTAATAACCAATTTATTTTTATTAGAGCAAATACAGTTGTGAAAACTGTACATTGTACATTTTGGGTCAAGAATTATAAACAGAGAAACTCATAGATAAAGAGTTCATTCTTTGACAGCAAGAAACTTTAAATAGACAAAATGACATTTTTAAGTACATTGGCAGGCTTCATTGTGCTGTCCAAAATGTAGTGTACAGTATAACAACCAATTATAAATAGCCTTTCATGTAAAATACAACTGTGCACGTTTTAGAAAAATACCAACAATTTGTCTGAGCTTTGTTTTAAAAAAGCTTATAAATCATACATATTTATAAATGGTACTAACATGCTTAATTTATAAACATTTTTCATAAGCTTTGTTACCCATTATTTCCAGAGCATAAAGTATTTTAAATAAACATTTAATAGGAATTAAATATGTCAGTTACAAAATTACCTCTCCATGTAAGGAGACAGGGGGTGATTTAACAGTGGGATGGAACATTTCATCCATATATTCAAGGCTTACACAGTAACTTTTAAAATTTTGTTCGTATTTAAAAATTACTTTCCTAAATTTAAAACACAATTTAAATTTTTTGGTTTCTTTTTTCTTTAAAAATAAATATACAAGTTTTATTTTCATTTGCTCTCTTTCTGCTTTCTTCTTTATCCACACTGGTCAAAACACAGGATTCTCAACATACTTCTGTAAAAAACACCATGGTGTTACTGCCCTGCTCGGAGCTGCTTCGCTGCCCAAAATTCAGTCCATACCTACAGTACTTTACTATGCTGCATCAAAAAGTAGCTAATGTATTTTGTAAGAATGTTGCCCATTAAACCATGCAAAAACTTAGAAAGTTTACAAACAGGTTCAAAAACTATGCTGTATGAAAGATTTTCTAATAGAGATAAAATAAACCGTAATACAAGCCCTTTGCTTTTTGCAGCTTTAAATTAAAATGTTTGCTTGCCAAATGATCACACCACATATCTTCAATAAATAAGCATGCATTTGATTAATATAGGGTACAATAGTTACAGTATAATGGCACATAAAAAGAAACGTGATCACATTTTTTGAACAAAGGGCTATGAAACTACTTAAGACAAACTTCCCAAATGAAAAATTTTGAAGCTTTTTCAATGCTGAGGTAAAATCATAAATGGACTTCAAAGACACTGAAGGCATCGAATCGATAAACAATAACTTAACATTTTTAAATGCTCTACCTGAATGTATTCAACACACATCTAGCATTTTAAAGTTGTGATTTATTATGACCATTAGCTAGCTTAACTGTCGTTGGCAGTAATGTGCACCCAGACAAGACTTTATTTTAACTGCTGTCAAAATACCTCAGTGTTGCAACATAATAATTCAAATCACCGATTACCACAGCACCAGAATTAAGAAAAAAAAAAAAGAAAAAAAATAATAAAAAAAAAATCAACATGCAAACCCTGTGCCTCACCTTTCTTGGCTTATTTTGATATTCTAATCTCCTGTATAGAATGTGCTTTTATCAATGTAAGATTCTATTCTTTTTATTATGCAAAATTTTGCTTGGTATTGGCATAAGTATTTGAGCATTTTAAGGAAGATACTAGTATCTTTTAAGTTTCACAGTAATGGTGTATTATTTACTGAACCTTAATGCAAAATGACTCTTAAGGTTTAAGGAAATGAATTTAAGAATTTTATCCCTGGACTAGGAAAATATATTTGATTTTCTGCTTCTGCTGCTAGGCAGAACGGGTAGCTTTCTCCAGGTTGGACTAAAAACTACTTATGGCTATACATCAAATTTCATAAACAACAAATGAACAGAATCATGCACAGGCAAATGAAATTCGATCTCCCAGAACACTGCAGGAGATGTTAAAAGCAGCAGGTAATGGAATAAGACTGGTGACTGATGTTGCTAACTATTTCTTCTAATGAGATAGGAGTGAACGCTGGAATCACTTCCACAGCAACAGAATCCTCTGACCACATTCCTCTGGCAGTCGTTTTCCCATCTCCCCACTAAAAACATCAGACGGTAAAATAGTAAGGCAGCTGTTAACTTCCATCAACAAAAAGTGCAGCTCCGTACATTTCCAGTTTAGTTACACTCTGCTGGAACAGATGGAGAAGCCAACACACTTCACTGGCGGGGCTGCTTCAGCAGATTATTTTGTTTGTTTTCCAACATGGCTGCTTGCTTCAGCTTTCAGAGGACCCCAAAGCCACGAGCCACCAGCAGAGAAACTGATCTGGGCCCCTGGCTGAATTTTCCAAGTTTCATCTCTCTTGCGTCCCATCCTAATTCCAAGCCTCCTTCCCTGTGTCTGAGTATGACAGGTGCCATTTAAAAGGCTGATGACACAACTGCAGAGAACTGTGGGCTAACACCACTAGTTGTCATGACTTCACTGAAGGGTCAAAACAGTTACAATATTAAATAACTATGTTGAATCACATTCAGGCACAGCTAAAAATTAAAGTGGGGAACATTAAAAGTATGTGAAGAAATTAAATCTTTATCATTTAAGGTGGGGTGGATATGGTGATTTTTTATGAAAGCATTTTCTTACCTTTCCTAATTCCAATCAAGTTAGAAAATGGACAAAAAGAATGGCTAAACCAATATTCAACAGCATTACCAGGGCGATCATGACCGAGTTAGGGCCCTGAAAAAAAACCAGAGATATCAGAATTAATGCAACCTCCGACATATGCACAGCAATAAACAAGACCTGACTTCACAATTTCTATAAGTTTTGACCTTGCTCTGAGGGAAACAGACCCTGCTGCCGAAACACGGCCAGGTGATATTCAGGTGAGATAAATATCATCTGTGTGAAAATGAGCTGGATAAATACAGGTGAGAGTATATTACTTCACTGTTCTTAATCACACTGAGATTAAGCCACCTGACAAATACAACTGCATCAACAAATGAAAACAAACCCATCAACACAAAAACAATGTCATCTTAAAATAAAGCAAAACAAAGAATGTGAACTACTTTAGGGAAGTGAGGCTGTTGCTCTTCATCCTTACAGAGGGCTCCTTTTCCAGTTCTAACCCATTTCAAAACAGACATAACAAAGATGCTTTATGAAAAGAATACACTTTTTTGATAACCAAAATAGAAAAGAAAATTTACTTACCACTGCACTAACAAACCTGTTTATTTTACAACTGCAAAATTAAACTTGTTTTGATTTATTCAGACTTATCTTAAGGACCTATGTACTGAAGAAATGAAAAATCAGGAAACTCCTTCCATTCTTAGCTAGAGCTAAAATTGGTTAGAAAATTTAAATCATTATGCTATTTTAGTATTTCTGTGAAGCCAGAAAACAGTTTTTAATTCTTTTAGGCAATTTTGGATATTTTTTTAAAAAAATGGATGCTTTCTAATGACCAACTTGAAAAATGTCCCAGCAGACGAAAATTCTCAGTTCTCTTCTGCCATTAACATATTTGGTTTATTACAACATAATTTTATGAAGATTTTTATACTCTTTTATTTTACAGTTCCACTGTACGCAGAAACAGAGAAACTTTTCATTTAGACAATACTTTCCTAAATCGCAAATCACGAAGCCCACCAGAAAATCTGTGCAGAAAACTATCTTCTGAGCTACACACGGATCACTGGCTTGCTTAAGAAGGTATATATTGAATGAGAAATCAAACACTGTTTTCACTTCTCACATGAGGCATGCCTTGGAGAAGTCCATTATGCTTCATGACAACATAATGCTAACATACGCTATGCAATTTCTGGAATGCTGAGGTGTAAGAACTTGCTGTTAGTAATTTGCTGCAACAGTGTAACTGGGAAGCTATGGAAAAGTACTTGTGTCATTATTGTATCACATGCTCTCCTGAAACAGTGGCATGGAACACCTTCCACTGGAACACACCTTTACACAGTAGTTCAGATGGCAGGCCAGATGTGGGCTGCTAAGTTTTTGAGTAACTCACAAAATACATTATGTCAGGTAGTGCTTAAATCTCTGGTGAGCCCAAACCTCATCAGCACCTCTGTCCATAACCTCCATCAAGTTCCCTTTGCACCAACCCAGAGCTGTCTGTTCACATGCTGAGAAGCACATGCTCAAGTTCAAACAATGACTGAGATTATCAGAATGCCAATTAAATGATGACATAGGGGTAATGGTATTGGTAGTAGCACCCACGTTTTGCTTAATGGCAGAATGTCTAAAATATTCACTAGGAAATTGAAGACCAGGTTTAATGACACCTTAGGCCAAGTGATTTTGAATAACAAGCTCTCACTTACCAGTGGTATGTTTCAACCACCAGGTCACAGAAGTGGAACCATGTTCCTTCCTCCTTTGTGGAAGTGACTCACCATGTGTCAAAGCACACAAGACACTCGGGGGCAGAGAACAGGCATAAAAGGAAAGCACAGCTCCCGATATGGTTACCACAGCACTGTGAGCAGCCTTGCTCTCCACAGACGTGTGATTTGAATACACTATTAATTTCCACTAAGATACGAGTTCAACATTGTTCTTTCTGGTGTTGGGCACTGGAACAGGTTGCCCAGAACAGCTGTGGATGGCCCATGACTGGAAGTGCTGGGTGGGGTTTTGAGCAACCTGGTCTAGTGGAGGATGTCTCTGTCATGCCACAGGGGTTGGAAACAGATGGTCTTTAAACATCCCTTCCAACTCAAATACTTTATGGTTCTATAATCCTATGATTCTAATAGAGACTGGCCATGTGATTCAAATCAGGTCAATGGTTCCTTTATAGGCTGGAATCCCACCTGAAGATTTTACAGTTATACTGCACCAGGAATTGCAAGGAACTGTGAAGATTATTGCCAAGTACCATTAAAATTTTTCGGGATTTGGCCATCTAGTACTTTGCATATTTGAAAATAACGCTGTGAAAATCACACTGATTTACTGCAACTGAAAAAAAAATTGGAACCACAGTGTCTCCACAGGAGCCAAGAACTTGTTCATTACCTGAAATACACCATGGAACAGCATCCTGGTAGCTGCCAGACAGATTTTTGCTGATTGCCAAATTGGCACTACAACTCTAATGGCACCTTGGTATCATTAGTGCACAGTCTCAGGGAATCAAGCTTGTTGGAGGGGAAGAGGACTTCCCTTTTGATGCATCTGTCAGTCAGGTTAGGTATAACAATCTCACCACAGTAACATTAGATGAATTAGGCTAAAAAGCCCAGGGGCTATGCTCTGAATCAAGAAGTCTCATCTACAAAGACAGGAGCAAGTGACACCTTAAGAACTGGGCTGTTGAGTTCCCATGAAGACCATAGAAAAATGTTATCTCTTTATGATAATGAAGTATCATAAAGATATCTCTTTATACAAAGAAGTAGAGCTCATACTCTTTGGCCTGCTATGCACATTGTGTTTCAGCTTCTGATAACTGTACTTTTCAGCCCAAAGCAGGAGTTCCTGGTACACTAAAAATGATCAAACAATGTTCATGGAGCACACAGTTATTATGCAATGAACTACCACCTGTTTTGTAGACACCTATGAAATAAGCATTTAATGCTTTAAGACAAATACCACAAGTAAGACTTTAGTGTCCCGCAAGGGCTTAAAATAGCAAAAGCCAAAATTAGTATGAACAGTCCTAGAGTGACCAGAACAGGTGCACTAAAGAAGCTCCAGCAGAAAACCTTCAGTCCTGCTTAAATTTACCCTTTCAGCTTCTTGTAAATTAAACATTTATGTAGTTCAATATACAACCAAATTATTAGCTTCAATTTGGGGAAGAAAGAAAGATATTTTCCTAAAATGTAGTAGCAGGAAATAAAACACTAGGCTCGTAATTCCATTGCATTAGGAATGCCCATTAAATTTAGCCTAAAGTTCTTTCTCAGAGGTTTTTTTTTAGGATAAGGCAAGCACACATCTTTACATATAAAATACACACATATTTATCAAACATCATGGTATTTACAGCCCTTACTAAATGGATGTTAGTTGAACAAAAAGATGAGAATTGAACAAAAAAATGGGAGTAGAATCACTGTGTAGCATTCAGGTAAAAACCAAGCTAAACACTGTGTGTTTAAAAATCTTTACCTGCCAAAAGAAAAAAAAAAAATTACAATTTAGTAAAACACTTGTGCCTGGGCTTGTAACCTGTCCTAGGGCAGCACATGGACACCTATCAGGCAAAAAAACCCCAACTGTATTCATGAATGTACACTACATTAGTGTTTTGTGAAATTCAATCCTATTTTTCACTCAAATCCAAGAGAATCTCCAATCAGCTCATATTCAAGGTGGGACAGGAGCGTGCAAGCTGAAACTGGGTCTAGAGGCTGCTAATGACCAGTTAGAAACAGCAGTACTGGTGTGTGGCCAAGTGTCTGTGAACACACTGTGGTAAATGTAAGGTAATGTGAATGAGACTCATTCTCTGTGAAAGAGGGTGACTTATCTCTCATAAATGACACGTGACTTTGTCATTGTGCTTCATGCAGGATTTTACCTTCACAAAACTGTGACTCTTTTCTTATGAGCTCTGGAATAATTTTAAACTTAGATTTTTGAACATCAGGGAGTAAATACACAGAGAAACACACTTATATGTGTGGCATAGGAAGTATGTGCTGATATTTTTCAAATATAATGCTAGAAATGGGGATATCTAGAGAATCAAGACCATTCCTATAATTAACTTATTCCACAGATTATACTCCAAGACATTCTTAAGGATGTAACATTCACAGAAAATATGAAACATAAATTGGGTAACTAAAACAGCTGCTACAAGCTTTTCAGCAAATGAAGTCATATAAAGTTCTTAATCCAAATTAAAGCTGATGTTTCATTCAGGTATGAAAAATGGCTTTGATTTAGACACATAGAAGGAAGAATTGAAAATCTTCCCTTCTTTATCTGTGTTCTTAATGCATTATCACAGGATACCGGGAGAAAGGACAGCACAATTCTATACAGCACTCCCAGATAATCTAACAAAAGTGCTCAATAAATGTTAATAGATTTTTTCTTTTTCATTTCCAAAACCATGTTTATCATTCTCTTTTCATGAGATTGAAAGTTCTTTTCTCTTTTCACTCCGTAACAAATATATTTTAGAACTTTTATGGAGTATCTAAGGCAGACTTACTTTCAAAGCATTACAAAATCATTTGTCAGAATGACTAAAAAGCAATTGCAGTTTCTTACTGAAATAAAATAATTCCCCAATGCAACTCCAGAATTCTGAAGTCTCTCAGCATTCAGAACCATCTGGGATAAGGAGAAGTACATTAATTAGGAAAAGGGAGAATGGATTAAAACTGGAAGAGATTAAGTTTAGATCAAATATCATGAAGAAATTCTTTACTGTGAGGGTGGTGAGACACTGGAACAGGTTGCCCTGAGAAGCTGTGGATGAGTCATCCCTGAAATTGTTCAAGACCTGGATGGGGCTCTGAGAAACCTGGTCTAGTGGAAGGTGTCCCTGCCCATGGCAGGAGGGTTGAAATTAGGTGATCTTTTAAGGTCCCTTCCAACCCAAACTATTCTATGATTCTATAAATTTGGCTTCTCCTCAGTAACTGTGCTCTCTTAGCTTAGCCACTGCTTAATTTCAATACACTGCTGAGCTCAGTCCAGGAGCACTGCAGAACAGGCTACTGCTTTTCTGAAGCTGAAAGGTGATATTGAAAATTCAAAGTCTCCAGCAAAGTTAATAGTCATTCTGTATTGTTTCTCCCTCAGACTGCTAGGCCAGTAGGCTACTCTTTTTTGTTTTAATTGGTTTAGCATTTCTACTCTCAGCATTTCGAAGAAATAAGCATGTAGGAAATTTAGTCTACAAGGGAAAATTCACAGACACATACAGAAGACTAGAATCTTTGAAAAACACCCACATAAATCTACATACATCTTAAGATACTGTTATAGTAAAAATGAATTCCTAAAATCTACCTTCCTTCCATACTGGAATGCTAGTAATAAGAATAATTCAATTAGACTCCAAATGAAGTAGAGGGACCTAGAGTAGAGTTCCCAAATATCAATGCAGTATCAGTGAACTAAGAGTAGCTAACACACAATATCTCATCATTTTTATACCTTTCATGGTAACAGGCTGGAGGTTCATGGTCCTTATCCTGAATATTCTAGAAGGTCAATAAACTGCTGTTCAGGTACCCTACTTGTTAAGATGAAGCTTCCCTCAGCTCCAAAATATTATTTGGAATGAAGGAAAAATAAGGACTATTTCTAGTGACTTATTTTCACCAGAGCTAAAAACCAATTCCAATTCAGCCTGAAATTTGTACATACTCACTCAACATTTACAAGCCTGTCAGCTTTGTGTTACCCTACATATGAGTAATATCTGTGAGATTTGAAAGGTTAAAGGGCTGATATCAGCTGTAATACAGATTTGCAGATTACAAAACCTCTGCCAACATCTACTTTGATCCACACAAAACAGAATAAAAGCTTCCTGCCGAACTAGAGAATATCATCTTGGCAAAATGCTCATTATCAAACTGCTCAGTGATGGCTCCAAAACCCTGGCACCTGAAAACTGATGGCACATTTAATCAAGATCATTAGAATCAACTTAAAACAAGACTTTTATCTGAATCTTTCTAACTGTTGGATTTTCTTACACATTTGCTTGTTGGTCTGGGAAACTGTTTAATAAAGCACACTTACAGAAAGTGATTTAGTACATCAGGGGTTTTTGTACCTCGAATCTTCCATCGTAAGGTATGTTTTAATCATTCTTGCTGCTCTTTGTGTGACTTCCTCTCAATTTTTTTTTCATTTTAAATCCCTGATTTACGAACACTGTTTTATCCCAGAAGTGGTTGCACCCGTGCCAAAAGCAGACAGAATGGACTCCCATGTACTCTTGCTTAATCTTTTCTGTTGATAAATCTAAGGATTATATTAACATCTCTGAACAACAGCAACAGACTGGGAGCTCGTGTTCAGTTGCCTCTATTGCTCCTGATCCATCAACCTTTTCCAGTTCTGATCCTTCATGGCCAGGCTCTATAAATTATCTTTCATAAACAGTACTATGTTTTGCTGTGCTGCCATGGATAATTATACTTTCAGCCTTCTTAGCAGGTGGTTTGCATGAGCTTATATTTGCCTTCATTATAGACCAGTCTCCAGGTCTCTGTGTCTTTTATAAACTTCATGGATGATATTCTCATGACCTCTTGTATGTCATTAACAAGAATATGATTAGAGTAACAGAACTAATGCAAGGATGACCTCGCCAGAATAATATCAAATAACTGATAGGTTTCTAATTACTTTTTGAGAACTATCAGTCAGTTTTAAAAAATTATTTTAATGTGACATTTAGCCTTTGAATTACTCTGGTTTCCTTGTCAGAATACATGGCCATGTAAAAGCAAATCAAGTGACCTTCTTGGATGAGATTAAGATTCTTCTCTCACACCTGAAGATGTCAAACTTGTTTGACAAGAGCATTTACAATTCACATTGGTTGGAAATTGCTCCCCCTCTTTAATTCTAAATTCTTTATTAATGAAGTCTGGTGATAATTATTCAAGTGTTTTGCCTGCAATCAGTACTAGGCTATTTGGATCTCCTTAAATGGGTCATTCTGTTTATCCCATCAATAATGACACACTGTTTTGTAGAGTACCACCAAAAATGACTCAAAGAAACAATGGTTATAAAAGAAAAACCTTCTGACAATTATCTAGAACTCTTCATTCACTAAAGACTAACTTTAGGATGTAAAACAAATGCTTTCCTGAATTTCTCTTGGCCCAAGAATCACAGAATCATCATCAGAGATTCCAAATTTCATACCCTGGCTTTTTCTTCTAACACGAAATAGAAATGCAAGTCATCAGTCCTTTTCTGCATGGCTATTGATAACTTTATTATTTTTAAATGATACTGAAATGAAGATTCACACTGATCTGAAAGGGTAGTTTTGAAACTCCTTTGCACATTCCAGACTGGAATATTTCTTCCTCACTCCAGGTGAAGTGGGTTTTAGCTAGCTGACTGTGTCCAGATTAAGATTTGTCAGAAGTGAGCTTTGCCTATGCTTAGGTTGCAAAGCTCAGCACTCAGAGGCAAAAGGGCAGTGAAAGTGAAAATGTCTCTTGCAGTACTTACCGAGCTGTTTCCTACTTCTTTCTCCATTGCTGAATGTGACTCATTATTAGCTGGGTTCTTTGGTGCAGCAAATTCTGTTTTCTTAATTTTTATGTCAGGCTTGTTTTCTTTGGCATCTGGCTTACCCCCAGATCTAGCAGGGCTTGGCTTCTGAGAGGGTGGTATCCGTGCAAGCGTTGATGGTGAAGGGTTGGCATATTCATCTTCTTCCCTGAGCTCCTGTGGAAGCGCTGTTGGATTCATTTTTACATAATAGCCATGGTAGTGACCATGCAGCTCCCCATTCTCTGTGCTGCTGGGATTGTGCTGGGCTGAAAACTTTGGCTGGTGTTTCCCAGCTACTTCCTCTTTCACCGGTGCTTTAGAATATAAAGGCTTGTTAGTTGTGGGTGTTATATTCTCAGTGGCTAAAAGCTTTTTGTCTTGATTGAGTCTTGCCCCAGAAGTGGAGCTTTGCCTTTTCAGTTGTTTTGAAGGAGAAGTCTCAGAAGAAAGAGGAGGACTATTTCTTGGGCTTGCTTCTGGGGTTCGAGGGGGTGTAGTACCTTTTCGATAAAAGTGAGGTGACTCTTTTGGGGTGGGTGGTTTCTCCTGACCTTTTTCTTCAGATTTTTCTTTTGCATCCATTCCTTCTTGAAATTTTTGTTTGATATAATCAGGGCCTGAAAAATAGTGTAATAGAAATATTAAGATCAAAACAAAGTTCACAGTAAAACTATTTCGTTGGGATGTTGGACTGCACTGCCCAATTTTTTTTAAGCCGAATTCCTCAGGCACTGGAGTTACTGTCGCTTTTTTGATAACTGTTGGAACTACTAGTTAACTTGGCTCAGTCACTCTGTATCTTCAGCTTTTCAAAGGGCCACAGTATGTAAACTGCTCCTGAATGAAGTCTGAGTGACTTAAGATTGACTAACCTTACATCACCTATCATTCCTTCTCTGAGAGGCAAGCTTTGAGGTATGTTTTACTTGATTACCCTAACTGATTTAACTTCTCATGATCAGAGCACCTGTTTGATATGTAGATAGTTAACCATCAGAATGAAATGCCTCTTCTGTTCTTATAAGCTACAGGAAAAAGGGCTTGAATTGCTTTATTTTCTCCTTTGGGTGAATATCAGCTTGTCTGATATACAGATATGTGTGCCTTGAACACTCACATGCCGGCTTTGTCTCCCAGAACCGATCACTCCTATATGAAGACCCCGGTTAACCATCCTAGTCACTAATACAATTTCTGCTTAGAAGGCAGGAATACAAATTCTCTCACATTCACCAGGAAAATACTTACAGAGCAGCAAGTGTGAAGAACATCCTCTCCCCAAACACCCAGCTAAACACCCACATGCACATTCACTATTGTTCACTTATCAAAGTGCATGTCTATACAGCTGTTAACATAAACAGAAACTGGCTGACATGCTCTGCTCCAAGTTTTGGTGCTCAGATTTAATGGTTTAATGGTAAGACTTGAGCAAACATTGCTGAAGAAACAGAACTGCTGTAAATCTGTATGCATTATAGGTAATGTTTTACCTCCTAGAGGTCACATCTCAGATTCCAGGATCAGTTTCCCTAAGAAGTCAGAAGTTGGGGAGCTCTGCGAACAAAGAACTGGCAACAATCTTCCTGTATTTTCAAAAATGGCTTCTGAAAAATACTTTGCAACTGTTTCTCCACTTCTATCCTTGCTAGCACCACAACTTCCCTTTGATTCTTTTTACCCTTCTCTAAGTGAGGCTTATCTGTGCTTAAAGTCATAGAGAAATTCTGTGCCCAGAAAAGTATGTCTGCACACATTTTTCTGCTTCTGAGTTTAAAGGAGGCTCTAACTGTGCTAGGCAGATACAGTGTTTTTACAGATGCCAGAAGCATATGCATATCTGCGCAGTGCGAAGATGAGAGGAAGGAAGAGCAGCATGAAGCTTTTGGAAGTTACTGAGTCATCTGGTAAGTAAGCATTGCTGAGAAGAAGAATTACTCGGCATGCAAGGTCTTTAGAGCAGGAAAATCACAACATTTTTGGCATCTCTGAAAACCAGGGGTGGAAACAGGGAGCTGTTAAGAAAGAAGGCAAGACACAGACAAGCCAGGATTTGTTCTCAAATGACATTTGAGGAGGAAGTTTTGAGGAGTTAAGCCTGCACAGAGGGAGAGAACTAGAGGCTTGATTCACAGCTTTTTATAATCTTCCTGGTAAAAAGGAAAGGCAGCACAACGTAAATTAAGAGTTTCCATATATAAAGTTACAGGTATGATCGCCATTCAAAAAATTCTCTGTCATGTCGGGGATTTCCTTCCATCTTCGCTGAGATACATAAGGTAATGCTGAAGGGTTTAACATGCATAAACTTTGTTTTTCATATCTTTTCACATTAGATATAATTAGGGGTGTAAAGAGAAAAGAATAGCTAAAAGAGCTCTGACTAATTTTTAAGCCAAATCCACAGAGCTGTCAAATTGCAATGATTATTTATTATGGAGAGATCCATATTTACATTAGCTTGCTCTTGCTCCTGACTGCTGTGGTTAAAGCATACAGTTGGAATACTATCTCTTCAGTCTTACAATGCTCCCTAAATTCTGAAAATTCACATACTGTGACAGCTCTGCACTATCTCATATACGTAAAGATTTGACTTTTACTAATATCTGACAGCACTTGACAAACTGAAGACACTTTCATAAGGAAACATCAGAAAATGACATCAGAATTGAACTCAGAAATGTCATCCCTCTCCACCCTTTCCTGCAATCAACTAAAAGACTCCCAAAGTTGGCCAGGGAAAATCCCTCTCATCAAGAGACCTCCAAGCTGTTATAACTTCTGAAAATAGAAGGGAAGCCATGGTCTCAGCTCTCCATGTCTCCCCAGAGACTTGTGGAGTGAAAAGTAAAAAACCATAAAGCAAAACAAAACTATAATCTGGAGCTTCCCAAAGAAATTAAGTTTCAACAGGCTAGCAATGCCACACTTTTACTGGGTATTGGGCAATATTTGATGCTATGTGACACTGAGCTCCACCAGAGAATGTGCATCCAAGTAACATCTGAAGGTGTCTGACCAGACATTCAGCCACTGCCTTAACAGAGCACAGCAGCCCTCCCTCCACCCCCAGTACATCACATATGGATATTAGAGATACATCCCTTGTCTCCAGGGCAAGTCTTGTCTCTTGTCAGGCAAGTCTTCCCAACACTGAAATTCTTGGCCCTCTGCTGAAATTACGTCTGGAGATTGTCCAAATACTTTTTAAATATCTGTTCACTGTATCCAATACAATTGAATTATGCCCCTGTGCAAACCACTGACTCCAAGCAGCAAGAACTCAAGCAAGAACTCCCACTCTCTTTTAAGGATTAAGAGCTGTCAGAATTTACCTTGTCCCCTTTGTTAAAGACATGACTCTACAGTCCTTCATCCAAGAGCAATCTATAGCACATGTTTAAAGAAACAAGGGAAGAACATGTTTAAAGGCCAAGGGAATTTGTAAAGAGAGTCACTAACATTCTATCCTGTAACATTTCTTAGCTGGCTGATCTTAATGAGGAAGAGAATAGAATTTGTGGGTGGGAGAAAGGTCAAGTGGGATTATCTGACCAGGAAATAAACACAGCGCTCTGGTTCTTCAGTTTGCAGTTCAAGCAGGCAGTAGATCTAGACATGATACATCTCAGTGCCTAAGGAGAACCTGGTCTGGAATGCAGAACCAAGAAATGTTATCTAACCAAGTGATGATAAGATGAACCTGTGTGTTTTCTTATGATGACATGCTGGCTGTGCTACCACTGGATCAAAAGTGATGCACCTTTACTCAATAAAGGTCAGCCATGGGGTGGTTTTGGCTCACACACCTGTTGTGATGCATGGCACCATTAAAGCATGAGTTAGCCAGTATTTGGAGATAATAGCCTCTAAAAGCGAAAGGACTGTGTGGATGTGTGCAAGGCATCCAGACAGTCTGATGGTCATCTTGAACAGCATTTCATTGATGGCTGTGGGGTGAGGGAAGCTTTGATTTGGTTGAAGCACATTCATGGTTCCTCTAAATCTAGAATTTCTTGTGAAGTTCTTGTGTAATATGTCTTTCCCCCTGGAAGGGCTCCAGTAAGTGATGTGACAGCATGGTCAGCCCTGTAAATGAGAAGAGAAGAATGCCCTGGTTCTGCCACACCATTTTTAAAGAGGTGACAGCCACATGCTTTCCCCCATGGCCCAGAGAGGCACACGTATTGGCAGCACAGAGCTGCTGCAGGATTGTAGCTCAAGGAACATCTGAAAATGTCATCTAGCAGGACACTGTAAATGCAGTCACCGTTTCCCAAAAAGGCTAAGAAGAGACCTCCTGCCTCATCAGATTAGAATGAAATCTGAAGCTTGAGAGGGACGGCAGAATACATCTAGGATAGTGAGGGAAAAGGCATACATGCAATTTCAATAGTGATTTTATAAACATCTTAACATTCTTACAATTCAGGAAAAATAAGCATTTCATATTACAATTCTTTTTGTCTAACAAAAGAAAAAAAATATTGTAATGCCACTAATGCAGGCTCCAGAACATAATCTTTTAAGAATATAATATTTAAAGTACTATTGATGCTAAGTGATGTGATTAAATTTCAAGATATATTAGAAGTACTTATTAGATAATCATGTGCTTATTTCTGCTTTTTAAACTAAAGTACACGTTATGTGATGTAACCTGTCTTTAGTGCTACATAGAGAGTTAACAAATAGGGTTATAAAGAGTAACGCAAATAAGAAACAATATTATAATTTCATCATTATGAGAAAATTTATGCTCGGCTTATAGATAAATTCCAGATGTGAAGCACATACTTCACTTCTTAATTTTGTTAACATGTATGAACTCTTAGTGGAAGGATGCTCCATTTCACTGTAATGTTTAACAACTTTCTGTAGGGTAATGGTGACACAGTCAAAGTTACTTACTCAACCAGAACACTGCAGTCTATATGCAAAGATTAGAGGCCTCTTTTTACTGAACTACTCTACATTGCAACAAAAAAAGGAGAGAATTTCTGATCTGAAAAGTTCACAATCTGTAAGTACAAAGCTAAAGCTTATACTAATAGCGCATTTTAGTGATGGGGAAGCTAACCCAAAAGGAAATAATGACCCAAAGCACATGTTTCATCTGAATAACCTTTCTAAATGTAATGCTCAGCTGTGAATAAAGTATCAACATGCTCAAAGCTTTGCTAAATTTTTGACAAAAAAAAAAAAAAAGACACAGAGAAAGTCTTCTTCAAAACTAAGAATGGAGTGTAAGTCTCCTGAGTAATCAAAACTACACACAGCGCTTTGGCCAGAAGTTTGTTGCCTACCATAAATGTCTTCTTGCTGAAAAAGCTGAGAGCTGATCTACCAAATCTAAATTCAAGGAGGGAAGATAATAATAAATGATGAGTAAGTTTCTTACTGAAGATTATACCCTAATATAAATCCAGAGCATATGCTTGAAGCAAAAGCTTAAGACTTTTGTATTTAAACGAACTGTACTAAAAAAGGAAAATGTATACTTCAGTGTTGGTACTGCAGGTTGATATATACTGTTCATGAAATAAACCAGTGAAAACAATTTGGTTTATCTTCTGATGTTTTTGATGGTTTTCTAATGTGTCACTGTCAGTAA